GCGCGCAAATCCTGCTACCGCAGCGCTGCCCTGCTGCTGCCTCGCAGGGGACAGCATTCACAACTGCCACCGAACTCAGTAGCAGCGAGTATCAGTGCAGTAGAAAACTACACGGGCACTTTATGGATGAATTGTCGAGTTAATACGATTCTTTTTTGTTCGCAAATCCTGCTACCGCAGAGCTGCTATCTCTCCAGGGATAGAAGTCGCAAGCATCTGCAGAGCTCCTGAACGCACTGCCCGAAGTATCTTGAGCTGCACGGCTGACTTCTCGAAAGTTCACCGTCACTGCCAGGGCAGCTAGCCTTGGAAAGGCGGAATCAATCTGTGACTACCGATCGAGCTGTGGTCTATCCCCGTATAGTGCGCATGCTGTACCAAACCCACTGTAGCATGTTTGGCTATCCAGCTGAACAATGCGCGCCTACACATGCACGTGCACTCCGTGGATGAGCATAAGCAACGGGCGTTGAAAATTAACAGAAGTGCAGATGTTTCTGAGGCTGCTGTGACTAGCACAAAAGCGCCTGGATAAATTCATCGTAAGCTCCGTTGGAGCGGTGAAGCTGCTGCCACGCTGGCCAGCAAATTGCACTTCACTGGAAGGAAGCTGCACGGTGCCTACTAAACACACTTCAGGACTCTGTCCAGGACTGTCTAAACTGTCTAAACCCACTTCAACAGAAAAATGGCTGAGAAATTCTGGCCATTAGTTGCAATTCGTCTCACGCNACTGTCTAAACCCACTTCAACAGAAAAATGGCTGAGAAATTCTGGCCATTAGTTGCAATTCGTCTCACGCTAGATAGCAGGCATATTGCCCGCCCGGAGCCAGTTAGCCAGCTCGCCAGCTAGCCTGAAGACCTTCACAACACTTATTGCAGCAAGGATGTCAACGGAATCCCAAGATTCCCTGGTTACTGTATAATTCGCACGTATAGACTAGAGACAGCACGTGGTGGTTGCACTGTGCGATCTGGCGCTGCAGAAGTTATTCACAAATTCCAGACCTGGTCTTCTTGTCGTGTGATGCTACACGCCCACTTTGGCACACGCTCTTGGGGTGGCATTGGCGCCTGGGCAAACAAGGCTGTTGATCTTCAAGCTCAGTCCTCCGACTGCTTCAGTAGCCACATCAATATCCGGGGGGTGCGGAAGATGCGGAACCCCTTGCTGGTCGGCAGGAGCGGATAGACGTCTTCATAAAAGTAGTAAAAGTGACCAACTACAATCCCGACGAGGTGGTCCGCCATGTTCCATCCCACCAAAAGGGACAACAAGGCGAGCAAGAACGGCAAGTAGGGAGCTTGCACAGGCATGAAGAAAATAGACAGTCTTGTGTTCGGATTCCGGCGACCCCATATGTAAGTCATGACGTTAATCATTGAGCCGCTGAAAAAGTATGAACTCACTCCGAATATGTATGAGAATGCCTGCAAAGAGANACGTTAATCATTGAGCCGCTGAAAAAGTATGAACTCACTCCGAATATGTATGAGAATGCCTGCAAAGAGATGTAACACGACAAAAACAGCCCACTCTGGAAAAAGAACCCACCGATGGAGACCGTGTGGTTGGCGGCAACTCATGATGCGTTTCAAGAAGCAACAGCCTCCCGAACTCACGTGAATTTCAAATGCTTACTACAGCGGTCTTACTGCATTTTAGACGTACCAGAAGAAGCCCTCCAGTGCAGATGAGCATCCACAGGAATGTGGCGCTACGGCGGTGCTCCTCCAAAGTTGAACAGTAGAAAATAAGGACATAAACATTCCAGAAAAAGTGGAGAGAGAATGTTCCAAAGAAGAGAAAACACGTAATCAATCGCCAGACTTGTCCATGTGTGAAGACAAGCTGCCAGTTCATGTACAAGGAGAAAGGTGATATAATCTCAAGTGTGCACAA